CTAATTTTCGTCTAAAAATTATGTTTGCATTAATACAAAGTAGAAAGAATATATCTAAATTTTTGTGCTGAAAACTTTTACACAATAACAAGACCAATTTCCCTTGCGAATCTGAGTTTTTGCGATTTTCTGGTTTTTTTTTCGCATTTGTATGTTACATGCTGATCTTACAACATATTTCACTCGCCTGAACCATAAAAAATTTTTTTAATATAAAAAAAAAATTATAAATAACAAAAAGCCCATATAAAAAATATATATTGATTTAGGTTGAAAAACAATTGTATCTATTGATTAATTACTCTTCAAAGTTGACCGAGTCGGGCCCAGGCCCAACCCGCTCGACTTTGATGAATGTATATTATTTTGGAATTATATAGTAATATTATAAGTAAACTTTGAATTCTTTGCAAGTCACGCACGTTTTTATTTAATTTATTTAAATTTATGCGTAATAAAATAAATAAAATTCATCGCTTCCGAACAAATCTGTTAAAATAACTATGACTCGTACAGCTGAGTATAAACGACATCTCCGTTCCAACACTTTCGACATTGAAAAGGCTTCGATCATTTTTCTTGAAGGACATGTGAAATATCTTCAACGTAAATATAGACGTCAAGAAATAAAAATTAATGAACTTGAATCACGTCTAAAAGATCTCGAAAAACTCAAAGAAGATGTTAGAAAACTTAAAAACCAAATTGATAGTTTATTAAACGTAAATGAGGTGTTAAGAAATAAAAGTGCTGATTTAAGTAGTGTAATAGATTACGGATTTAACTTGATAGCAAATTCTGTAAAAAATGCAGAACTAACGATTTTTTTTCGAAAAATAAAAAAGTTATTTGAAACATACAAAAATAAATACAATGAAAACCAAAATGAATACGAAATAGGTATGCTTAATTTATATTTCCTTCTAGTATATGTAAATTATCTGACTTCTCGAATGAATAGATATTGGTTCTTTGTGAATATCTGAAATTATCGATAATGTGAAATGGAAGGAATTAATATTAAATAATACTATTCTAGCTGAAATTTGTTTGTATTTAACTCCAAAAGATTTATTTTCTTTGACACAAGTTAAAAAATTGTTATTTGGAAAATTACAAGATGAATATTATTGGAAGATATCTAGACAACAACAACCAAATTATAATCACAAATGTCCTATTCATATAACCGAACAGCAATATTGTTTCTTAAACTTTATGTGTCAAAGATGCCAATTTTGCAGGCATTCTGATTTTTCTTTAATCCTTGAACTGAAAACCAAGATTTGTTCTGAGTGTTGAGAACAAGTGTTAATAAGGTAAATTAAAAAAAAACCCATTGGTTTTTAAATTCCAACAGTTATTAATTTTTGTTTGATTATATAGTCGTTTTGAAATTGAGGAAGAAAATCGTATTCCATCTGAACTCTTTCCGGCATTCCATTTAGTTGATGACGCACAGCTTGATGGAAGATACTTAGATTATTCTGTGCATGAATTTTCAGTGTCATCTAGTTTAGTTCATTATTTGAAAAGTGAAGTCTACGATACCTTTGACGAGTATCTTAAAATTCCTCAAAACGAGAAGCAAGAATGGTTAAATAAGAAGTCAAGGGTCGTTAATGAATATTACAATGATGTTTTAAGGATAAAGCATCCAAATATAACAAATTAATATCTATCGCCAGAAGCTTCATTGCATTCCCATACCCAATTAACTCGTCTAGATGCATTTTGGATTCCTTAAATTTTTAAGTAAATAAAAATCTTAATCTTTATTGAAAGTAAAATAAATAAATAAATCTTTAAATTCAATTTAATAAAATTATTACAAAGTTTACAGTCTTTAAATGAACTTGATAATGTGATTATTTTCAAAGTTAGTTCAGTTTGTTATTTTGCCCAATTACAGAAATCAGCCAGATTTGGTTTTTTATTACGAACTCAATAAAAATATTTCTAATTGTGAATTTATTATATGAAAATATGAAATGAAACGACATATATTTGAAATATCATAAAAAAATTCAGAAAAAAAAAAAACAAAAAAAGAATAACAAGTAAAGGCTCTTATCAGAATATTAATTACGGGGGAGAATAAAAATTCTCAAAATTGGAAGTTCATCATATAAGAGCATAAAAGTAATGCGCCAATATAAATTTTTTTTGCAAAAAAATAAAATAAAATAAAATAAAATAATGAAC